AACCCTAAACCCGCAACCTTAAACCCTAAAACCCAAACCCTAGTACGCCTTAGAGTAATTCTTATGAACCCCCAGGTTACCTTAAACCCTAAACCGTGAACCCTAAACCCTCAACCCTAAACCCAAAACCCCCAAACCCTAAACCCTAAACCCCGCCCGGATAGGATCCCAAGCTGCAAGCTGGGCTGCCTGGCTATGGCTTGAACCACTATGAGTCTTCCCGAACTTGGCTTCGTCAGAGGTTTGGGGTTTAGGGTTTACGGGCTTAGGGTACCCTAAACCCTAAACCCTAAACCCTAAACCCTAAACCCCAAACGGTACATGCATGCCTGCATGGGAGTACACCCTCTAAGACACCTACGAGATCCCAGCCCCCAGCTCCACAGGATCCCTTTCCTACAGTCGCCCATTTAACTGACAGTAGCTCGATAAAAAGCACCTCCCATGAAGACCTCCGCACTCTTGAACGGGTCCTCCAAAACCTGTCCAACACCCCTATGAAAGTCTTAGAAAACCCTACAAACCCTCAACCCAAGCCCCTAAACTTCCGTATTATACCCAAAACCCTCAACCCAAACCCCTAAACCCCCTTAGGTCAGCCCCCAAAACCCCCACAAAAGGACCTCACCGAGTAGGTGGCGATCCACGGGGGTAATGAAGTCATCCGCCAGCCAGAGGGCCTTTCCGGGCTCAAATCCACAACCCCAGGCTCACACCTAAGCCCCAAAACCCCAAACCCTAAATCTACTTTAGGGTTTAGGGTTTAGGGTTAACTTATATATATATATATATATATAGGGGCCGTAATCATCAGAACAGGATTTTGGGGTATATTATACTATAACTATAATAAGGAACCCGCGCAAGTAGTCTGGGTAATCAGTTAGGCCCCTAGATGATAGTCTTATGCGGATTTAGGCTTCGGCTTTGGGGCTTCAGGGCTTTGGGGCCTGAAGCCTCAGACTTTTACTATAGGGGCCTTAGTAATTAGAAGAGGGTTTTGGGGCCCGTTATTATACTATAGCTATATTTAGGAACCACCCCCGCCAAAAGAGTGTTGGTATTTATCTAAGCCCCTACGTTACAGTCTACGGCTTTAGGGTTCGGGGTTGAGGGTTTAGGTAGTGCTTCGGTCTGTGGAGCTTAGATTTATAGCTGTTAACTTATGTTACGTGGTGGTTACCTTCTTTTTTGGAAGTTGTGACTTTTAGGCTCAGTGTTCGGAACAGGTCATGAGCCCCACAGATATGCTAAGATGTTTAGCTCCGGAGCCGCACGAACATGTTGTGATGCTAGGGCTGCTGGGGCTTCAGCAGCCCGGGGCTTCGGTTTAAGGTTTTAGGGTTTGGGATTTTTAGGGTTTTCGGCTTTAGGGTTTTAGGTTTGAGGGCTTTAGGGTTTGGGATTTTTAGGGTTTTCGGCTTTAGGGTTTTAGATTTGAGGGTTTTAGGGCTTAGGATTTAGGGGCTTGTAATTGTAACAAGCTATCAGAACCCACACTGTGGTGTACAGTGCCTAGCGTGCCATCTGCACTGGAGATACTGGCGCTCTTTTCTGCCAGGGAAAATTTCGACATGACTTTTATCCTAATCAAGGGCTTATCGTGACACTGCTTGAACACATCTTGGCGCCAAGCCCTAAACGCTGCCATTACAGGCATGCGGCGTGGAGATAAGAGCCTCCCCGCAATCCTCATCCTTGTTTTCTTTTCCATTGCCATCACCATCATCATCACCACATCATCATCGACATCGACATCGACATCAACATCGACAACGACAACAGCTGCTTATAGCGATGATCATTGGTTATGCAAGATGAATCGGCTTGTGACAAGCAAGGCCAGTACCAAGCACAGATTGACCTAGAAAGTGATATCACCTTGTACATACAAAACCTCTAGGCGAAATAGAAGCTACTACGACGAACAACACAGAGTAGTCATGCCTCATCGGCTGTCCAAGCAAGACCTCAGGCCGGTGGGAAGTGGGCTTGAGCTGTGAGCTTCGGGGCTTAGAGCCGGTACATGCTTACATACGATGCCCGGGGTGCTATGAGCTGCTGAAAACCTTCCATCGATTTAGGCGCAGCAGTCCTGGGGACGTGAGTCACCTGCAAGCATGACAATTCCTACAACTTGTCAGCCGTCACTAGCATGATGATGATGATGATGATGATTATGCTCCAGGGCAGTGGGCGTCTGCCCCGAGAATGAATATAGGGGCCTTAATAATCAGAATAGGGTTTTGGGGCCCCATTATACTATACTTATAATAAGGAACACCCCCCAAAATTGCAGTGGTAATTACTGAACCCCCATAATTGTAGTGGTACATATTGAACCACCCAAAACAGTAGTGGTAAATATTGAACCCCCAAAACAGTAGTAGTAATTATTTAGGGCCCCGTAATAGAAGAGCTCCAGTCAAGGCTACGGTTCAGCGCTCAGGAGCTTCCCTAAGGGTCCATGTACCCAAACAGTACTTAAAGGATCATGGGACTTTGCGGCAGCTATACTTATATATTTATTTATAACCCCAATTAAGGGACTTATACCTTACTTACTAAGTAAGTCCCATGATTCTCCAAGTAGAGACGTTGGCCTCCAAAGTGCCCAAACAGAGACTATTCCAAGGCCAAAGTATATACTACTTGGGTACATGGACCCTTAGGGTTTAGGGGTTGAAAACTTTTCAAACACCGACCCTAGACTTACCCTAAACCCTAAACCGGAGCATCTTTCAAAAGCCGTAAGCCCAAAACCTCAAGAATTGGGGGCATGCAATCATGTCTCCTCGGCAAGGTAGGTGGGGGATTACCTTAATTATTGGATTCTAAATATAAACCACAACAAGGAACTACAATTGAGCCTATGGGAACGCCCTTGAAGCTTAGTGAGGTGCATAGGCCGCCAATCGCTGAGCCCATGGCGCCGCGATGGCTTCTGACTTCGAAGGTCTGCTGGCCTGGAGGGCGTAATGTAAGGCCGTAAAAATTAGAACAGAGTTTTGGGGTTTATTAGACTAAAGTTGCAATAAGGAACCACCAAAACAGCATTGGTAATTCTTTAGCCCCATATATATTCCGTCACGTAATGCAGGGCCTGAATAATCCTTCCCCGTAAAATAAAAACACCCTCGAAATACTAAAAACTGTTTTGCGCGAAAAAAAAGCTATGGCGTGAATCTTCACATCGCTCAGTGCTTTATTCTAATCCGTTCCTTGTGGCAGGCCGCAGACCCTGCCGTCCTGCGTTCCTGCGGTTGCTACCTGCAGTTCCCGGGCAGTGCCCGCAGTCCCACGTTCCTGCGGCCTTTGCTGGCTGCAGTTCTTACAGTCAACTGTAGTACACACTTGCTCTTGCAATCATGAAGTTTCGGATGCTAGATGCTAGAAGGATATCTGAACTTTGAGCAGGAAAGGAACTCAACTCACGCGTTCTGACTAATTAGCACACACCCGCTCTTGCAATCGCAGGTTTTTGATGCTGGAAGACTTCCTGAACATAAACTTTGCGGGAGAGATAGAGAGAAAGCCAACCCTAAACCTTAGACGTTAAGTACTGTAGTTGTAGGTCTGAGCCCTCTACCTAGTCTCACCCCAATAGCGCTGAATTGAACTGGAGTTTGGCCCTTATCAACTCCTCTTGGGGTGCACTCGAAAATGTGGTTTACTAATACTATTCAGGGTGAGTCCTAATCATCCGGAGCAGCGATTACGTACGTAGAATAGGGTTTGGGAGGATATAAGCATAGCTTTTCAATCAGCGTGTAGAACATATCTTCTCCACAGACCTCAGTAGAGGTGGCTATGTTCGTGGTTCATGCTGTCTTGTGTTCGGGTGTGGTTTCAGGGTGTTCGGGTGTGGTTTCAGGGGGTTGGCCACCAAATAATTGTTTGGTATTCAACCCAAGTCTAACCGTAAGGATCAACATAGCCCACAGCCTCATACAGCGTGGTCTTTGGGCCCAAAACCCAGTAGAGATTATGATATGATAGCAGCCGGATTAGCTAGAACAGGAATCGGGCTCGAGGCTATAAACACAAAGAGCCCTAGCCAATAATCTGGTTAAGTGTTCAGTCTCGAATATATGTCATAATGCCCAAACCCTAGTCTGCCTATTCTTGTATACTGTGGACCCACCTACTAAACTCTATGGCCCCTTTACAGACACTGCCCCTGTGCCATTTCATGTCTGTCATAATATCTGATGGTTGGCCCTCTTCTAGATAAACTCTAAGCCTCTCGCAGGGATCTGACTCTGCTAGCTTGAAACTCTATTGAGGGTCCAAGTACCAAAATAGTAGGTTTCCTTCAACAGGGTTTAGGGTTTAGGGTTTAGGGTTTCTTTAAGGGTTCCTCCGTAGTGGTGCCTTTAGCATGTCCAAGTACCCAACTGACGCTTGCGCGGGTCTGCAAGACATATGCCACGGCTGCGCATGTCGAACAGCACTCATGTACAGTAACCCTAAACCCTAAACCCTAAACCCTAAACCCTAAACCCTATCTACAAGCTCTTCGAGGGTTCAAGGCCGTTCTTCAGCGCAGAACCATCAGGCCTGAAGATGCTGAGCCGTGCAGCTCCGTATGGAGGGTGCCGATGAGCATGGCACTGTCATTCCCAGAGACTCCAATACCCCTTAATTAAGGAAGAGACCTTAAATTATACTAGGATCCTTAATTAAGGAAGATACCTTAAATTATAATAGGATCCCTAATATGATGTAAGGTATATTCCCTAATTAAAGGGGGTATTGGAGTCTCTGGGTTGACAGCAGTCTCCCTTGCCCAGTAAATCTCGGCCAATGGAGACATCCTCTTGCCCCCAACCCTACCTTAAGAACCCAAAACCTACCTTTTGTGTAGGTTCTTATTATAAACCCTAATATGGGATTTATAGGAACCCTACAAAAAAGTAGGTTTTGGGTTCTTAAGGTAAACACGAAACCCCTCATCGCCAGAGCTGGTCTTGTCAAGGACTGGACGCCAGACCTGAGCTAAGGGTACCAGCAGCGAGTAACGCCCCGTGCTGATTCTGTTCGAACTGTTGGTGCCACGCTGGGAGATAAATAGACAGAAGAGAAGTTGACAGACAACAAAAGAAAGAAAGATAAATCGAGACATAAAGAACTGGAGAGACAACGAAATGGAGAAATAGAGAGCTGGAGACAGAGAGGGATATAGAGAGACAGAGAGAGAGATGGAAAGATAGACAAACAGACAAACACCCAAATAGACAGACAAACAGGCAACAAAAGAGAAGCAGCGAGAACAGCGACAGTGAGAGAGAGGGCGAGAGAGGTTCACAGACACAAATAGCCGGAGATAGACAGCGACAAATAGACACAGACAGAGACAGACGGAGACAGACAAAGACAAAGATAAAGAGACAGAGAGACAGAGAGAGAGAGAGAGAGACAAAGCAACCACGCTGCACACTGCGCACCCTAATTTCTAAGCCCCGAACTGTAAGGCCCTCCACTTAAACCCTAAGCCCAAGCCTCCAAAACCACAACCCCGATATCCAAACCCTCCGGCCGGCCAGCCGTGAAGCGCAGCCGTAGGTTCAAATCCGAATTCCTGGGCTCCTAAAGACCATTGCGCAAGACCAAAAACCCTGAACCCGAACACCATGGATCCTCAAACCCTAAACCCTGAACCCTAACCCTAAACCCAAACCCTAAAACCGCAGTACTGGGGCCCCGAACTCATCTTTGGCCTGCACCTGACTGGGCACGTGAGACGTGTCGGCCTTAATAATTAGCGTGCTTACTTGACCTTATCTAGGGGTCCGGGGAACTTAGTAAGTAGGTTATAAGTAGAGTTATAAGTACCCTAAATGGAGTTACCCCAATTATAACCCTAGTAATAACCGACTTACCAAGTCCCGTGGCCTCCAACAAAATTATGATACTACCCTGAGGGTCCATGTGCCCAAATAGTATATACTTTGGCCTTAGAGTAATCTCTACTTCGGTACTTTGGGGCCAACGTATCTACTATTTTGGGTAAAGGGACCCTTAAGGCTAGCAGGATGATAAGGACCCTTCGAGTCCCCCTCATAAGAGTTTAGGGTTTAGGGTTTAGAAGGGAATATGATTGCGAGTTATTTCCGATTCTCTAAGTTCTTCAGACGCCTTTCTTCACCTCAGAATCGGGATTTGGGGCTTACCGGCTTTTGGGTTGCTGCTTCGGGGTCTATGGCTAGGCCTTGAGGACGGGAGGGTTCCAAGGAACATAAGAACATACATATATATATATATACACATATATATATACACATACATATCTATACGTATATATATATATATATATATATATATACATCTGTGTAGTTCTCTAAATTAGAGTCCCTCTTTAGGTCGCCAAAATAGCACGGCACCCTTATCAAAAAGGACCCTTAAAAGCGACCCTGAATTTAGAGAACCACCCATATAGAACCCTACAGTGTTCTGATAGAAACCCTTATAGAGCCCTTTTTACGAACCTTTACAAAGAAGACGGGACCCAAATTTCGAGAACTTAGCAGGGCTCCAGGAAAACTTGCAGGGACCCTGACCTGACGTTTAGGCCTTACTGTAAGGTTTGGGGCTTGAGGGCTGTAGGGTCTAGGGCTTAAGGATTTCAGTCTTCTTTTTTATGGCTTTGGGGCTAGTTAGGGCTTGGACCTGGAGAGTCTTGTTGCTGTTGTTGCTGTGTCTGTTGTTATTGCTGCTCTTGCTGTTGCTGTTGCTGTGGTTTTGCTGCTGATGCTGCTGCTGCTGCTGCTGCTGCTGCTGCTGCTGCTGCTGTGGCTCATGTTGTTGTTGCTGCTGCTGTTGTTGTCTTGCTGCAGGACTGTAGTACCAGCTTGAATGGAGTCTGGCATGTACCGTAACACTGCTGTGATTGTCACTGTCAGGCCTCTCGGAACAAGACACTCCCGCCACAGCCAAACCGGGACCAATCCCATGTATGCGACTGTAGTGGTAAGCGCAAGTGTTGTTGCTGTTGTTGGTGTTGTTGTTGCTGGTGGTGGTGGTGCTGCTGCTGCTGTTGCTGCTGCTGCTGGTGCCGATGCTGGTGCCGGAGCTGTGGCTGTTGCTTGTGCGGTTGCTGTTGTTGGTGGCAGTGGTGTTGCTACCATTAGCTTTCCATTCCCTCAACCCTAAACCCTAAACCCTAAACAGTGCTTGGGGTGTGTTTCGTGCTTCTGCACCGTGCCACTCGGATCGCCGGCCTTGCTCCTCTTCGCGGAAGCCACGCGTGCGCCGCCACTCAGCGCCCGGAGCGCCTGCGCTTCTTGTTGAGGGTTTTTGGGGCTTAGGGCTTTTAGTTTTGGGCTTCGCTTATTAAACCTGAACCCAAAACTGTGTGTCTACCCCCATAATAAGTAGTATCTGCAGACTTGGAGTCCAGGGTAAGGGTTCAGGGCTCACTGGCAGCTCATTTCAGGATTTCCGTGGTCTACAAGATTGTAGGGCTGCTTTCACTCAAGACTTAGGGTTCGTGTGAACAGGAACCTACAGACGAAGGTAGGCAAAACAAAGCTTAACTCTGGCCCAAACCTCGGTTCCGCAGGTCCGGAACCCTTTCAAAGTCCAGGATCTAGGGCTCCTACTACCATGCCCTACTTGTTTGTAGGTTCTTGATGCAAAGCCTAATAGTGACCCCTAGAAACCCTGAACCCTAAACCCTAAGGTTCTTGATACAAACCCTAATGGTGCCCCTAGAAACCCTAAACCCTAAACCCTAAGGTTCTTGATACAAACCCTAATAGTGACCCTAGAAACCCTAAACCCTAAATCCTCAGGTTCTGGCAGTTTAAGGTAAGGGCTCTAACACTGCGCACTTGCGAGGCCTTCAGCGACCGGGGCGAAGCGGGGGTGGACCTCCCGTGGTCGCCTGGGGAAAAAGGGTCGTTAATGGCCCTATAAGATCTGAGTGTTCGCGAATTATAGGGCTTTATGGGTTGGTTTAAGGATGTTTGTGGTCCCGTTGGCAATCGGCGGTCTAGGCCCCATAGACCCTCAACCCTAACCCCAAACCCTGAACCCTGGAACCCTAAATAGGAACCTAAACTCTAAACCCTAAGCCCTCAACCCTAAACCCTGGATCCCTAAATAGGAACCCAAACTCTAAACCCTAAGCCCTGAACCCTCAGCCTAAACCCTCAAATCCAACCCCTAACCCCTAAGCCCTCGACCCTAAACCCTAAACTCTGAACCCTAAGCCCTCGACCCTAAACCCTAAGCCTAAACCCTGAAACCCGCCAGGGCATGGGGTGCAGCCGTTCGGGGCGGTGTAAAATTCGGATCTGACCTTCGAGGCAAAGGCTCTGAAACCTGAAGCCCCAACCAGGCCCCCCAAGCATCCTCTAAAGGGCTCTAAGATGTCTGATTAACGAAGTAACTAGGGGCTGCAATAGAGGGTAGTTGGGAGTCCTAGGAATAGAATTAGGGTTTACAGGTTAGGGCTTCGGGCTTACGGCCTATATTTGGTTTAGGGTTTAGGGTTCAGGGTTTATGTCGGAGCTTGACTACATGATTCGCAACGGGCTTTTGGGTATATATATTGCACTGGAACCATCATAAAACCCTTCTAGAAAAGAGTACTGGTCATTATGTAGGCTCCTATAGTACCCTAAACCCTGAACCCGTAACCCCAAAACCTAATAAGGCCCTAATAGTGCAGGCCCTAATGTCGTAGGGCGTTATCCAGACTCATAGGCTCCGAAATTCAAAACCCCTTAATTCAACTCACGAATAAAAAGTAAGGGCCTTAATGCTTAGAATAGGGTTTTTGGGCTCCTTCCCAGTACAGCTATAAGAAGGAGCCCCAAGGAGAAATATTGGCAATTATTGAAGCTTCTATAATTCCATAATGCTTAACTCATGTGAAAGACCCATTTGTAATCTAGGATGTATTGCTTGACTAAGGGCCTTGACTTGGGGGTCTCTAGCAAAGCCGACGGCCCTAAACCGTAAGCCCAGGAAGTCAACCTTAGAGGCAACTCAACCCTAAACTTGGCACTCCTAAACCCTACTTGGAGGCCCAGGGGACTTAGCAAGTCGGTTATAAGTAGGGTTATAGTTGGGGTAACTCCATTTAGGGTACTTAGAAGTCTACTTATAACCTACTTACTAAGTCCCCTGGGCTTCCAAGTAAGCCCCTTATCCCTAACCCCTAAACCCTGAACTCCGAAACCCTAAGCCCGGGGCTCCTGAACAATCACAACTATTGTTAAGGACTCTTATGCAAGGGCCCGAATCAATAGGTTGAATAGGGCTCCTTTATGTAATGGTTCTTCGGTTTGGGCTCATGTTGTTTCTATGAGGGTTCCGCCATCAAGGTTTTGGTTGGGACAGGTTTAGGGCCCTCACTGACTAGACGAGCGATTTGGGCTATGTTATAGCAACACCTGTATTGGGACCTTCAAGACGATAGCTAACCATTTCGGCGTCTATAGTAAGTTTTCACCTTGTTAAGCTCTGGGACTGATTGAGAGCCAGCACACCGGGATGGATTGCGGTGACGGAAATGAACTATTCATAGACTCAAGCTACTCCCTAAACGCTAAACCCTCAAGCCCAAGACCAAACTTGCTCTTGTTCTTTCAGCTCTGCAGCCTTTGAACCACATGCCGATTTGACCCCTAATTAAGTCCCTAAACCCTATAAACCCTAAACCCTAAACCCACAGACCCTTTAATTGCGAAACCCAGTTGAGCCCGACACCGGCTCACCCCAACATGTTCCGAAACTCACTGGTCTGAGGGGGTTACCAAAAGGGTCATACTTTGTTTTTTTGAGGGGGGGGGTGTGCAGCTTAAACCGGGTCTATCTGGAAGCTGGCATTCGTGTTTTATAG